TTTTTATGCAGGGTCTCACTATGCAGCTCAGACTCATAGTGATCCTCCTGTTTTCAGCCTCCCTAGTGCTTGGATTACAGGCATGTGCCACCATGCCTGGACTCCATTGCCAGCTCAGCACACCCGGAGTACAGGGCTGGTGCAGCATGTGGTGCCAGGGATCAAACCCTGGCCCCTGCACTTGCCTAAGCAAGAGCTTAGTCTGCTGAGCTATCTTGTCGGTCCTATATTTTCAATAAGTAATCAAAATTTATATATTTACCTTTTCTAATATATATAATATGGATAAATATAGTATACCTTTATATACTTGCTATACATATATTTATTTATATAACCTGGGTATATATAATGCAGGTAAATATATTGACCTACATTATACAAAATTTGCCTTTTTCTATACGTCATGCACACACACACATATGCACACTATACCTATATACATGCCTACACTTTGAGTATATAGTATTAGAATAAATTTAGGCTAACAACTATGGGGATAACAGAAATAATAAGAAAAAGAAAACAGATGCTCTATTAAAATTAATAAAACGTTTCATTCCAAAGCCATTTCATTCAGGGGAGCACAAACCCTATTTTCCTCTGTAGTAGGTTGCATTTAAAGATCTTGCTTTGTAAGTAAAGGAAAACTATCACTTTTCTTCATCATATGGCCCAGAAAATCACCTAGTCCAGGACAATACCACCAAGTCATCTTCCGTGAGGACTAAGCAGCCTGGTGAACTTACAGATGGGAAGAAAGAAGCTCGCAAGCACAGCTTCCAGTTGACGCTTACTCATATCTACTCAGGCAGAGCCTTCTCCTGTCTGCAATCTCTGAAAACAAGAATGCTTTGATTGCTTTGCAGTCCACTTCCTGTGTGCTTAGACTAACAGGATCTGCCGCTTGTTTCAACAGAGCGTAACAGCACTGACTCAACCTGCATGGGCTGCTAGGCTGCGTTCCAGCCAGAGGGCTTTGCATCATACAGTCATCACAAAGGAATGGTGCATTTTACCTAAGGTGGCCCAACACCCAAGGACACTTCCAGAGAAGCACACCTTTGACCCCTATTCCTGGCAACTGAGTCAGACCCCAGAAAACAAGCGTGGTATGAATCTCTCTGGCTATGAATCATCAAAGCGGCGAATGTCCACTTCTTTCCCAAGGAGAAGGCTGGCGCTCACCTGCACCTCTGGTCTGGAAGGATAGTGGAAGGTCACATTGTGGAATTCTATTTCACCTTTGATTCTGTCAAGCTTGTAACCAGCCTCTGACATGCAGTCAATGATGGGTTCCTGGAGTGAGATTCAAGAGGGATGTAGCAAGAAAATATGTTATATGAGCTTACCATTCATCTTACTTTGAGCTAATCCATTCAAAAGAACAATAGCTTGATGATAGCCATTTTCATTAAAAAATCAACAGTAACAAATGCTGGATGGGATGTGGGGAAAAGGGATCCCTTCTCCACTGCTGAAGGGAGGGTAGACTGGTACACCACTATGGAAATCAGTGTGGAGATTACTAAAATACTATGAGATATAATTGCATTACTATATGTTAAATGTCATATATGAATATAATAGATATTAGAGTTTATTGTTATTCGATTACTATGTTATAGAGTTGCTACTATCAGATATTACATAGTTACATTATTATATTATAATTTATTAATATAATATTAATGTTTATTATAATGTATTATACATTAGTCATATTAGTTAGATTCTATTATGAAGGGCAATGGGCAGGTGTTTTATGGTGCTTTTTTCATTTATACAACTGTCATCATAACCTAACTAGACAGGTCATGTGCCCGTGAAGCGAAGGAATCCCAGAGAGGCTGCTCTTGGCTAAGGCTATTGCCACTAGAGCAACTAGTCAACTAAACTGGGGTCAGTCATACCCTATATCTGAGTGTCCATTGCAAATGATGATTAAAATTAAGTGTCAGCAAACAATGTTCCCAAATACTACCAACTTTTGGTTGGTATCCTGCGCTTCACTGATGCTGTGAATAGCGCCCTTCAAGCAGCATGGCATATAATAGCCCTAGGAACGGAGTCAAATTTGAACCATCAGTCATTTTTATATGATTTCAAACAATCTTATTATATCCTAGGATAGGAAACCCTACAATATAAAGCAGGTAAAATGGTGCATGCTTTCCTCAGGTAGATTACATTGTTTTTCAAAAATAAATATTCATGATTTAGGGGACCCATGAAGCGCCTGATTCTCAGAGCTTCTGACTCATAGACCAGAGTACTTGTCCCAAGACAGAGAGCACTGTCTTCCTCCCTCAGCTGGAACTTCCTGACTCGACCTCTGAGGTGCTGCAGGTTACCCTGAGGAAACCTGAGCCAGGCTACCGTGGCCCTTTGTAAACTGATAGAGACTTTCCGCCACACTGGGAAGATGTTCCAGTTTATGGAGTAGGTCTGACAGTCCTACAAGCCTGGCCTCTCCCATCCCTCTAGCTGTGGCCCCTTTCTTACTCTGTTCATTCACACTGGCCTTCTTTCAGCCCCCTGAGCATACTGTAGCCTGGAGCTCTCTTGTCCAGAATTCCTTCCCCACTTTCATTTTCCACATACCCGATTTAAAGATTTCTTCCTCCACCTTAGTCATGGTTGCATTGCCCAACTTTTTTTCCTTGCAGTGCTAAAGATTAAACCCAGGGCCTCATACGTGCTTTGCTACTGAGCTACATCCCAACTCTATTTTGAGACAGGGTCTCCTAATTTGCCCAGATTGACCTCAAACTTGTGATCTTGTTTCAGTCTCCCAACTAGTGGGTCCTGGGGGCCTGCACCACTGTGCTGGCCCACATTATTCTGTTATTTCCTTCATCTGATTTAGCCCTTGTCTTTGAATGTTCTAACTTCCTGGCCCAGGTCTTCCAGCCTGGGTATGACAGCAGGGACCATTTGTCTTTGTTCACTGTTACATTTACAGCTCTTGGAACTGGGTGAGGCTCTAAGGACATTGGGCCAGTATCACTCACTTAAGGGCATGTTGGTAAATCCTCATAGTTCAAACCATAGGGGTGAGTGCCTGTGGGGACTCTCCACCCCACCTTACCCCTCGCCCTTCTGTTCTAATGGCTTTTCAGTTGGCCTTTTACATACCCTGTCCACTGTCTCAAAAATGGTGGCCGCTGCTGCACGCCCGGTGGCAAATGCTTCCAAAGAAGAGGCTGCATTCCCAAGATTCAAAGCTCCTACTAAGACACTGAGGAAGATCTGAAATGAAAAGAGAGATGTCTTTTTTACCACATGTTTTTGTCAGTCAGTAACTCCTTGCCATTCGGGTCACCCACGTGCTCATTTTTCCAGAAGCATTCTTCCGCAGGAGTCCGAAAGCTCAATCACTCTCTGGCTCTTTGGAAATGCCTGGGACAGTTTTGTTCTAGAAAGCATTAGCAATTTCTCCATTGTGATTTAAAAGGCTACATGATGTTTTATTGAACATTAATTACTCTTCTACCAAGTAGACTCATGTGGACTCATGCAGTGGATTGGACGCATGATCAGACCTTTTGATTTGTGATATAATCAGCCTGCCAATGATTTTCTCGTTGAAAGGGCAACACAAATAATGAGCCCCCTAAGATCAGCCCAACTGTTCTAGAGGTCAGTACTTGCTGCTGCTGGTGCCTCGGGCACTAGGATGGCTGCTGTCACTCCTCCTGCGGCTGCTGCTATACTAGTAGTAATGATAAAACAGAGATAGGTTTCATATAATCCTCACAACAGAAGAAAAAGCAGACATGTCTGGAGGTCTCCTAAGTTGGCCAGAGTTACAACATGGAATTTCTAGAGCAGTACTTGAACATAGGCACTCGACAGCCAACCTGAGCAGCCCCCTAACTCATTTGCAGCCGGTCACACGTGCGTGCATTGCCTGGTTCCTGCACAGAGCTAGGGAAGCTGTCCTGACTCACGAACACAGTCAGTTCGTGAGTCCAAATGATCCTATCAAGTAGTACTCTGCTTTTTTTAAAAAACGAAAATAAAATTTTAACAATGGCTATTATGTTGCACATGTTCATTGTCAAATCTGTTGCTCAGATTAGTAGATACAGGTGTGCAAAATTGGCCAAATTAAATGCTTGATTTCACTAAACAGTGTGCAGTAATTCCTCAAATAGACCTCTAGGGGGAGTACAAAATCCCTTCTCTCTACCAAGCCAGGAAAGCTCCAGATCCCGTGGCCAGAGGCTATTTGTCCTTGGCAGTGGTTGACTGCCAAGCTAAAGGCTGGCTGCTACATGAATGTTTTGGTCAACAAATGATCTCCCTTCATCTGTCCTTGTCCTTTCCCTGTAACTGATGACTCCTGCCTGTGGTTGGTCATTTCAAACCCCAATTTCTTCATCTGTGACACAGGGACAATGGACATGTATACTTCATAGGACAGTTACAGAATTTAATGAGATAATGAGTGTAAAGATAACTAGGAGTGAGTGACACGGGACAGGTGTGCGCCCAGTCACTAACTGTAGCCTGCGCCCTTCTCTAGAAAGCAGTGGTTGTCGACCTGAAGATCCCGCCCGAGGACAGTAGAGAGGAAAGAGGGGTGAAGCAGAGAGGTCTGTGGGTGTGCTACACCAGCACAGGGGGCTGGCGGTCCCCCAGAAAAGACAGTAGAGGTGTGGAAAACAGTGGTTAAAATTCAGATTTCTTGACAGCAAGCGTTCATATTCAATTATTTGTCCAATCTTGTATAACTATATCTGTAATCTGGGCAACAGATTCGATGTTTAAAATAGGTAATATAACAACCATTGTTAACAGGCTATTTTTGTTTTGAAAATTTGTAACAAATGTATTGTTGTATGTTACCCTGCTTCTGTCATTTTTTTCTATTTGTTTTTGCTTCCGTTTTTACTCTTCAAAATAAAATAAAATAAAAAGTCTTTTTTGAAAAAAGGAAAACAGTGGTTGAAGATCAAGCCCCCGAGTCACAAAGACCTGAGTTAAACTCATGCTGCGTGCCACTTGGCACGAGTTTCTCAACCTCATTTCTGAAATGGGTGTCTACTGACCCTGATTACGGAGAGAAGCCGCACCGCCTCTGGTAATGGCATGCAATAATCGTGCCCTGCTTGGCGCCTGTATACGCTGAGCAGCGGCTACCGTCCACCACTGCTTCTGTTATCGTCTTTGTTTTTGAAACCTGAACCTTGAGAGAGGCATGCAAGAGGGGGCTTCTGCCTGCTCAGCGCCCCTTCATCTTTCCCTAACAGACAGTGGAGCCCATTCTCCGCCTGTGTACTAATTACAGTCATTCAACTAATTACCTGACTAATTAGTGAACTAATTACCTTTTATGCCCCACGGCCACATAGCCAATAAAGATTTTGTTATCCAAACTGCTAATTAGTTAAGTGGATTAAAACGTGCAGCACAAGAGTATTTGTCTTCATAGCTTCACCTAGAAGTATAGCTAAGAATTCATGTGTGTGAGAGAGTATGTGTGTGTGTGTTGTGTGTGTGTGTGCATGTGTGTGTGTGTGTGTGTGTGTGTGTGCCTGCCCCAAAAAGCACTTCTTCAGCCACAAATAGAGGCTTACTGGAACAAGTTAGGAAGTAAATGGGTAATAATTGATAATTAAAATGTTAGAGATGCCTAGCATGTCGTGTCCCACACGGTAGAGCTGAATACATTACGTACAGAAGACCCAGAGTCGCTCACAGCTCACCTGACAGGAAGAGAAGCAAACTATAAAGCTGGATTCTTGCTAGAGAGAGTTACCAAGGGGCTTTTTACTCAGTGCTTGCAACCAGAATTGTGTGTTAATGTTCAATTTACCAATTCACTTCCCCCTCTGAACCACTACTCCTCTGTCTTCTCCTTGTCATCATGGAAGGAAAAGAAGGATTTGCCGCAAAGTGAGCTCGCAAGTGTTTTAATCCACTAAACTAATAGGCTAATCTAGTACGTTCTGTGATACACAGACTCATTAAGGGCCTCGTGGTAACTGAGTATAAATGGTACATGGGCCAGAGCAGAGTGAGCAGAAAGAAACAGCTGGAACTAATTCGCATATTGGTGTTCCTGATCTGGCAAATATTGGTATCCCTGGTTTGGTCAAAAGCTCTTAGGAATAATTGGATCAATAAAGACAAAGGACTTTGTAGTCAAATGTCAGGCCTACAATACTTTCACTTTTCTAATGCAAAACTAAATTGTAGGGAAAGTGATCACAACGCTTTCTATCCTCTCGCTGTAACATTTGTAAAACACTTTAACAAGTATTGCCATATTTAATTTTTTGCACAGCATTCAGAACCATGCAATGTTCAGAGACATGCTGCAGAAATAATAAAATTTATGAGAGTGCTTAGAGAGTGTCACTGTCCTCTTAATGAAATAAGGTCGGTGGGTTAACATGATTATGGTTTTCTCACTAATAATCATTTGTTTGTTTATTTTTTATTTACATTTTGTTTATATTTTGCTTGGGATTGGGATTGAACCCAGGGCTTCACACCTGCTACGCAGCTCCTCTTCCATTGGGCTATACTCACTGCCACATTTTTTCTCTGGTAAATCAAAATCTTATTCAGTTTTCCTTAGATATGGGTTTATATTAAGTCAGCAGATCTCAAATTATAAGCTATCAGCTAGCAAATCTCTGGCATAAAATTTTGATTTGTGTATGTGTGTGTGTATAGCTTAAATCTTCCTATTCCAAATAGAATCTGCAGTCAAATCATTGCATTTGAGAATCATTTTTTAAAAATTATTTATTTTAATGTATTTGGCACAGGGTCTCGCTACGCAGCTTGGCCTTGTAGTGACCCTCCTGTTTTCAGCCTCCCCAGTGCTGGGATTTCAGGCACACCACCACACCCAGTCTTGCAGGCTGGCTCAGCGCACTTGGGAGTGGGGCCGACACAGCACGTGGTGCTGGTCATCGAACCCCGGTCCCTGCACTTAGGCAAGCAGGCGCTTAATCCACTGAGCTATCTCACGGGAGCAGTGTTTGAGAATCTAGGAAGTTATTTACCATCCCCTGGGATGAAGTCAGTGTTTCACTCTGACTTTATTGTGTGCAGAGCAGGAAGAGATAGGGACAAGTGTAAATGTCCCATGTGATACAAATGCTCTAGGGGGAAGTACTGATGCCACTCAGCTGAGATTCCAAACATGGCCCAGAGTGGGCCAGGGCCAGCAGTGAGCTGAGAAGGAAGGCCCCTGGAGAATAAGCAGGATGCATAGCCTTCCCTGAGGCACCTGCACCTCGTTCGTTACCTGCCTATTCACTGTCAGGAGTCCTGACTTCTACTTTCTCGCTCAGGTCCCCATTTGCCATTCTGTATGTACAGGATCAATTATTGTTTGCCTTTCTCACAAAACTATGAATCCAATGGCGGGGGGAGAACCAACACATTTCTTTTGCCACTGTTGAATTCTCTGTGTCTGGGATGAGTTTAGCTATAGTAGATGCTCAATAATTCCTTGTAAAATGAGTAACTAAAAATACACTGAAAATTCAAGTAGCCTTGACATCAGCAATGGCATGCCATAGCATGAGTGCATAATGGAACATGTTTGCATTTTCTGTTCAGTTAGGGATAGTATTAATTTGATATTTCAGTAACTCATGTTTCACAAATATGTCCCTTAGGCACATAGTATGTACTATTATTAAGTTAAATTATATGATTTATAAAATTGTTAGCCAAAAGATAACTGCATTCCAATTTTCATAGCATTATTATCTTTTGGACTCAACCAGAAAACTCATCATTTTGTAGCTGTGAAGTTTTCAGTTAATTGGGAATCATTAAAATGCTGGTTTCACCAATCGAATGCCATAAATACTTAATACTGATGGCCTTGGAGATGACTCCGGCTCCCTCAGATACTCAAGGAATGAAGCACGAGTCTAACCTACAGGTTCTGCTGAGACACCAGCAAGACACGGTTATGTTTAGGTCAACCGGACCAAAGTACCTGCACAAGGGTTCCTGGCGTGTACTCCCCATCCTCCAGGACGAGTTTGGAGCCGTACCAGAAGGCCAGTGCATAGGAAAAGAAGATGAGACACCACATGTATCCAGTAAAGAAGCCCATCACCATCCCTTTTCTAATTCCCCAGCGCTGGGCAAACACAAGATTGTTCTCGTACCTGCAAAGAGAACGTGTTTAAGTCAACCTCAGCAAAGAGGCCACAAGGGAGTGCATTCAGGGATCCTAAAGTCACCCCCAGGACAAAGAAGCTGCGGGGAAAGAAACCTACAACAGCCTCAGTAGAGGTAAAGTTTGTCTGAACCTGGCAATGAGTCACATTGAGAGAGTGACATTGAACAAGGCCTTATTTATTGACTGTAGCTTGGATGAATAGCAGCCGGTGTAAGCTTTGAACATATATGTGCTGAGACATGAGGCTCTAGTGCTATCTGTGTTTACGTTATTTTCTTGTATTACATAACATTGTGCTTCTTATCAGAAAACAATTCAGTTGCCTCCAGATAAATAGGTCAGCCTGGTGGATGCTTCCGGACCCCAGTCTCGAAACTAGAATTCATATCACCTCTTCCACATCCGCCTGCCCATCGGCACAATAGCCAGGAAGCTAAATATTTAACCTCTTGTCAGAAGTATAGTTTAAGTATGTTTTCTCTCATTCTGTAGACTGTCTTTTCATTGTTTTCTTTGCTATGAAAGAGCTTTTCAAATTTGGTACAGTTCCATTTCCCTATTTTTGTTTTTATTTCCTGTGGTGGGGGGGGGTCTTATTCAAAAATAGTTGCCCGTTCCAATGTACCCAAGCATTTCTCCTGTTTTATTTTCCCTAGTGGCTTCAGAGTTCTAGGTCTTATAGTTAATTAAGTCTTTAATCCACTTTTAATTGATTTTTATATGTGAAAGGAGATGGAGGATTGAATTTCATTCTTCTGCACATAGATACTTAATTTTTCCAACTAGATTTATTAGAGACTGTCCTCTCCTTGTTGTGTGTTCTTGATATCTTCATTTAAAAAATCAATTGATTGCAAATAAATAAATGGATTTATTTGTGGTCTTGCCATTGTGTACCATTGGCCTAAGTATATGTTTCATGCCAGAATTATGATGCTTTTATTTCTATACTTATATAATAGATTTTGAAATTAGGTAATGTGATGCTTCTGATTGTGTTCCTTTTATTCCACATTGCTTATTTTTGGATCTTTTGTGGAATTTTTCCTCCTTCCATGGAAAATGTCATTGGAATTTTGGTAAAGATTGTCTTGAAACCATACATTGCTTTGAGAGGTACTGAAATTTTTGCGATAGTCATTATTTCAATCCATAAACACAGGACATCTTTCCATTTGTGCTCTTTTCATTTATTTCAGAACTAGTTCCCTAGTTTTCAGTATATAGAACTTTCTCCTTCTTGGTTAACTTTATTCCTAAACATTTTAAGGTTTTGTACCTATTGCAAATGAGGTTATTTCTCATTTATTACTGTATAGAAATGCTACTCAAATTTATATATTGATTTTGTATACTGAAGCTTTACTGAATTCATTTATTACATCTAAGATTTCTGGTGAAGTGTTCAGGGATTTTGCTATGTAATATATCTTCTGAAAGCAAATATCACTGATTTTCTTTTCTGGTTTAAATCCCTTCAATTTCCTTCTCTTGTCCAATTGTTCTGGCTAATTCTTTCAGTATTGTGTCGCATCGAAGTGGAAAATGTGGGCATTCTTATCTTGCTCCAGATCTTAAAGGAAAAGCTTTCATACCATTTTGTTTGACTTAGTTACAGGATTGTCATATGTGGACGTTGATGAATTGAGACACCTTCCTTCTATGACTAATTTGTTGAGGTTTTTTTGTCATGTATGCATGTTGAATTTGCCAAATGCTTTTTTAGCATCTGTTGGCATGATCTTATGGTTTTTGTCTTTCATTCTGTTCACATGATATATCATGCTTATTGATTTGTTTAGGTTGAACCATCCTTGTATCCTAGGGATAGCTTTGATTGTGGGGAATGGTTCTTTCAGTGTGCTGTTGAATTTGGCTTGTTAATATTTTGTTGAGGATATTTGCATCTGTGTTCACCAGAGATACAGACCTATAATTTTCTTTTCTGGTAGTATCTTTGTCTGATTTTGTGTTATGGCAATGGTAGAACTATAAAGTGAACTTTTTAAGGATTACTATTAGCTCTTCTTTAAATATTTTACAGAATTCAGACATAAAGTCATCAGGTCTTGGTATTTTCTTTGATATAAGAGTTTTTTTGTTGTTACTGACTCTTTCCCTGTGCACTATTAGCCTGTTCAGTTCTATATCTTCACAATTCAATGTACCTTTCCAAAAACACTGTAAATATATTTCCTCTAGGTTCTCCAACTTGTTGAACCATTTGTATTTCTGTGGTTTCAGTGTTTCAGAGTAGTAATATCCTATGTATACTTTTCTTTGATAGTAGTAAATAGTATTTAAGACTGGCATGAAGTTTACTATATGGGCATACATATATCAGAGTTGAAATAAATATCTAACTTAACTTGGCTTTCAAAGAGTTGTCAGTTGAAGTATCCTTAAGAACACATTACTAAAGGTTTGGGACTTGTAGTGTTTTGACCAATCTAAATTACTGTGTTTAGGGGCTGGCGAGATAGCTCAATGGTCTAAAGCACCTGCTTAGGCAAGCTTAAGCAGGCACATGGGACTGCGGTTCGACCACTGGCACCACATGGCATGCCAGTCCTGTGCTCAGGGTGGGCTGAGCTGGCTCAATAAATAAATAACTGTGTTTATCTCTTGAATAAATGCTCCCTTGGTTTACTGCAAATCTTCCAATTTGTACAAACAAGTAAAAGTCAGGGAACTGTGCTATTTGGGGAAATTCATCAAAGTGGTAGATATTTACCAACCTTTTGACCTCTTTTTTTTCACCACCAAAAGCAGCCACTGTCCGCATAGATGAAATTACTTCATCGGCCACACACCCTGCTTTGGCATAGGCCTTCAACTCAAGGTCTGTGAACTTGGCCACACTCTAAAATCCAAAAGAAGAAGTGAAAACGGGGTTATTGGTAGCTTAGCCTGTCATTCAGTGGTTTGTTTAACAGAGGTAAACATGGGGCATGGTTTAATGGAACACGAGATTCTGACTGCTATGCCAGAGAAAGAACTTGGTCCAAGTTTTGTTTATGCATGTCATCAATTGGTGTTTTCTTTAAATATCATATCAAAATAATTCATTTAAAAGTTAGGTTCTAATACCCAAATAAGTCAATCTATAGCACTGAGGTCTTTCAGCCATTATATTAATGAGATTTCCATATCAAATCAGGTTATATTTCGTTGTAGCTGGCCAGAAACTATTGCGCAATTTGTAGACAAACACCGCAGGTGAAGACTAGGGATCCATGTGGTCATTAAGCTTGGAGTATAAACTAAGAGGATCAGAATGTGCAAAGACATGACATTGCTGAGGTAATTTCAGGAAAAAAAGATTTAGGGAAGTAGTATACCATTTGTCTGAAATGTAGGGACTTAACTATAGTTGGATCTTTACAAAAGGAAGAGGACATATGTGCTTGATATTAAATAAGTTACTTTTTCTAAAATTGGACTTGAACTGAGTCTTATTCAAAATTAAATGTCAAAGAATCCCTTTGAATGGATTAAGAAATAGTAATGAAAAACAAATATTGTAGCCCATCTAACACAGAAATCTAAAAATATATATAATATCCACATAAAGGAAGTTTATCTTCCAACAGTTTCCCCAAACTTTTAGCAACAAACTATCATAAAACAAAATGTTAGATAGAATTCTAAAACATAAAATAAGTAACATAATGTTTTTGACAATATAGTTACTGTATGGTAAGTGCACAGTTCACAGTGTGTGAATGAAAGGCAATATTACGGAAAGTGAGAATATTTTCATCAACATTAAAACGTGCAATTGGGCATTATGAGAGACACTGCCATTTTTTCACACCCTTGATCTAATTGATTCCTAAAATATGCATTTGCAGAGCAATAATGAGAAAATGAAATAGTGCTAAGTGATATCTGTTATTGGCACGGCACATTAATTAATCTGAGAGCACTTCAATTAAGCTGTTCCAGAAGCTTTAGGTGTCTTACAAAGTTCTTATTTCTCCCTGGACTTGAACTGTGATCCAAAATTCCTGTTTCTCATGAATATTATTCAGAAACCATTGCACAACTTGGAGACAAATGCCACAGGTCAACGTGGGCAGCATAATTGATTGGAATATGAAATGAGAGCAGCTCAGAGCAGGCCTAGGCATCCCATGGTAGAGGTAACTCCAGAGATAAAAGTTTCAGGTCAATAGTGCATCATTTTCTCTTAACTATAGGGACTAAATTACGGCCTGATGAA